ACGAAGTCAACTTAGGCGCAGACTTATAAAAAGCCTACGTAACGATCGCGAACAGTGGTGGGTGGCGAAAACAGAAGCAATGGTAAAGGCAGCGGCGATAGGCAACACTAGACAACTTTTCCGCCTTATTAAAGAAACTGGTATTAAGAACCCGAATATGAGTGAGACTATCTCGGAAAAGGATGGGATTATTATCCATTCTCAATCCAGGAGACTGGATCGATGGGCAGAACACTTTAAGGATCAGTTCAACTGGCATCGAGCCACTCTTCGGTTACCCACGATCTCCAGTCATCCTGAATGGCAAATCGACGTAATTCCCCCTAGTCTTAATGAAGTTGAAAAAGCGTTAGGAAATCTGAAGCGAGGACGAGCTGCGGGTCCTGATAGACTGACCCCTGAGATATTTAAGGATGGTGGTCCTGTTTTAGCAACTAGGTTGATTGAGATCTTAGGTAGAATCTGGAAACTGGACGTAATCCCATCCGACTGGTCTCAATCACTGATTGTCCCAATTTATAAGAAAGCACAGAAGTCTTCTTGTGACAATCACAGGGGAATAAGGCCAACTAACATAGTATCTAAAATATTGGCCTCAATAATACTTCGACGCTTAACGAAAGCTCGTGAAGAGCAGACTCGAGAAAACCAATCTGGTTTTCGACCTGGTCGTGGTTGCATAGACCACATTTTCACACTACGACAGGTCCTGGAACACAGATACACATTTAGGCGTCCTACAATAGTTGTTTTCCTGGACCTAAAAGCGGCATTTGACTCTGTTGATCGTGAGGTTCTGTGTCAGTGTCTGTCATTTAGAGGTGTACCAAAGAAGTACATTAACCTCAAGCAAGCTCTCTACTCGAACACTACTGATCGAGTGAGAGCTTATGGTGAACTGTCACCGGAATTCTTCACTTCAAGTGGTGTCCGTCAGGGATGTCCACTTTATCCATTCTTGTTTAATTTTATCATAGACATGCTCCTAGACATAACATTGTCCTCGTCTGAATTTTCGGGAGTAGACCTTTTACCAGGAGGCTCGCTTGTTGACTTAGAATATGCCGATGACATAGTCCTACTTGGTGAAGATGCTGACGAAATGCAGAGTCTCCTGACTACCCTAAGCAACAATGCACGCATGTTCGGGATGCGGTTTTCCCCCTCGAAATGCAAAATGTTGCTTCAAGATTGGGTTGCATCGGCACTTGAACTGGTGATACCGAGTGAAGTAGTCGAACGTGTAGACCGCTTCACTTATCTCGGTAGTGTGGTGGACCAATCAATGTATTATTTCAAAATATCAACAAAGTTATTGAATACAAACAGATGTAGTCTCATCAGTGCCGATGGCCTGGTGACTGACGAAATCTCAGCACGGATACAGAAGGCTCGATTGGCTTTTGCCAACCTACGTCACTCGTGGCGTAGGCGTGATATCCGTTCTCTAATCAAAGGACGAGTGTACTGTGCAGCAGTTCGCTCCGTTCTCCTATATGGCTGTGAAACATGGCCAGTGAGAGTAGAAGATATTCGTAGGTTACTGGTTTTCGATCATAGGTGTCTTCGAAGCATTGCTCGTATATCGTGGGACAACCGAGTAAGCAATGCTGTCGTTAGGAAACGAGTACTAGGTAAGGATGGCAGATCAATAAATGAAGTGGTGAAACTTCATCAGTTGAGGTGGTTGGGACATGTGTTGCGTATGCCCAACCACCGACTGCTTCGAAGAGCTTTATTTTGTGGTGTAGGAGTAGGTTGGAAGAAAGTTAGGGGCGGCCAAACCAAAACATGGCAGAAATCCATGAAGTCATTGACTAGTGGACTTAGCCATGTCGGTAATTGTCGACTACCTGGTTGGGGTCCGCGAGATGATAATAATCGATGGTTAGAGACCTTGAATGACATGGCTCAAAATCGTTCGCAATGGCGCCAGTGCATTTATTCCTTGTGTTCTCTCAAATCCTAATCTTCTGGATTCTTCAACCCCTCTAGTTTCGACTCTCTAAACTTTTCTCATTAAATCATACTTCTTGAATAGTATCTTCTAATCCTAACCTCTCCGATTACTTCTAATTCCCTTACTACCTCTTCTACTATTGGATTTGAATTGACAATTATATCTCTGTGCTGATGTGGTATGGCAACATGAACTGATGTACTTATGTACAAAGTTCTACGTTGCATCTGACTGACTGACTGACTATCAGTCAACTAAAGAACTTCAATCGAAATCATAATATTACACTATACAGTTGTTTCGTTCTAATGTGTTGCAGCTATCAGTGTAGCCACGTAGAGAGACCATCAATCATATAATTCACGATGATTACTACTTCTCTGATATTATCTATGCGTTGTTCGTACGTATGCTTCTCTTTGTTTTTAATTATTAAAATATGTGTTTGTTCCTCTCTCTCTCTCTCTCTCATGCATATCTATAATTCTTTCTTATTATTAACCAATCAGTCAATCAGTAAGCTAGAGAAGTTTGTTTACATTTCATGTTTTTCTATGAAAACAATCAAGCTCAGTATGTGTACTATTTTTCATTTCTTATTCGGATCAATTGAGAATGGAGAACTGATCATCATCATCATTGTTGTTCGCAATTTTCTGATTCTCTTCATATATTATTGAACTATTCTTGAACATAAGTTCCCTTATTATCTTATCTATATGATCTTAAAAGTTCACGTATATTTGTTGATATGTATATATATATGTGTGTGTCTCTCTCACTCTCCCTCTATCTGAGGTTTTGTTTGTTGCGCATCCTTTACACATCTTCCCTTATCTACAGCGTTTACATATATTGCGTTCCCGAGTTTTTATCATTATTATTATTATGAAGTGAGAAAGAAAGGTTGTTTCTAGATTGTTTCAATGAGATTATTGATTGGAAGAATTAACCTTGTCAGAGCTCATTTCAGCCTGTCCAGTATATATGTATATATTTACAAACACAGCATAGCTCTAAAGTCTTTACATAAACAGCTTGTACTTCATAACTGAGTCCTTTTTACATATTCACATAGACGCTTACTGTATGTTATCTATATGCCATCATTCGTCATTAAATTAAAAATAGACTAAAGAAATTAAATTCCTAATGGTAATTTGAATGTTAACAATTCATTTGGTGATGGTCAGTCGACTGACTACTTTCACTTCTATTGTTCTGTCAAACAAGCCTAGCAAATAAAGTATCACAACAATGTGTACACATGCTAGCTGTTTTAGAAAAAGAAAATTTGATAGTTTTGAAGTTTAAATGAAAATGAAGCCAACTGATGTTGGTGACTGAACTCAACTTTTAATTACAAAGTCACACTGTCAATCCAGCCTATACGCTTAGTCTCACCTACTTCTACTCCGGCTGACTTCGCCCACTCTACGAAAGGCAGTAATTGGGGCATACTTTTGTTAAGATATTCACCCTATATCTTAAGAGGATTATTTGTAAGTCTAATTATATTGATCAATTCCTACTGGTCAATATTATAGTCGTCATAGCTATCAATGTCACGTACTTCAATGTTGTTTCCTATTCGCCCTTAACTGTATAAATACACATTGTCCATATGTGGTGACTAGTTTATGTACTTACTTTATTGTCAGTTTTACAATTGTTTTTATTATGTTGCTATTGGAATTTATGCATATTTTTATTACGAGTTGAAAATGACATTGTTTTTCTCATATTCCGTTTATATTATTCATTAAATTTCCGTAGGAATTAGGCCTAATTCGTCGACCAGTTTCGTTTACATCAACAATATGTGATGATCGAGGTGAAGAGTTATTGTATGCTGGAATGCCAATCAGCCAAGTGATTGAACAAGATCTAGGTATAGGTGGTGTTCTTGGCTTGTTATGGTTCAAAAGAAGGTAATCTTTAAAAATAATTCTCTAACTTGTAATAAGTAATCATGTTAAAAGTTATGAATTTGAACTTACTTGTATAATGGTTCATGTCTATTTATTGTTGAATATTCCGAACAGCTATTCCATGTTCTTTTCTTTTCCAATGCATCTTTGATTAACTGTCAACCTTTGGTTAGAACATACAGAGTGTGAAGTACAATGACCTTCATAACTTGACCCTTATCTGATTGTTGGTTTTTAAAATGCTAATATCATTATGAAAAGTGTGAGAAAGATGTGTGCAAGTTATTTCATTTGAGACTTTTCACATAGAAAACTGGCTTTATTTTCTATCACTAGAGAGCATTAGACAACTATTGCACTTCTAGTATTGACCCCCCTCCCTTAGTTATAAAGTAGTGTGTTCCCATGATCTCACTTCAATGGTCGAACGTATAATACCACCAACTGTAGTTGTAGTCGATAACATGTGCAAAAATTGAGATTATTTGTAAATTGCAATAATAATAATAATTATTTTTATGATACAACTCACTAACTGATTCCGCTCAACCAGCATCTACTCTGACGGGCAACTTTTCATATATATATATAGGTTGGAAAAAAATACTGACATCCAAACCAAGATTTGGCGTCAGTCCATGAAATTATTAATTATCAATTTGGAATCATTTAGGTAGGTACAGACTGGGTGTTCGCAAGATTATTGTTTTTGAAAATGTTCCGTTGTGATAAAACTCGGAATCGGAAACTGACACAAGTCTGTTGACTCACTGTCCTGAAATACATATACTTTTATATTCCTAAAATCCTTGAATCTTTCTTCTCAAATCATATTGTCTGTGTCTGATGTTTGTGTTACTGCTTCTACATGTACTACTACTACTACTTCGAGGCTTGCCGTGATAATTTTATGTAACTACAGATAAAGTATGGCGTATACAGGATTCTACATTGCTTATAACTCAATGGAGAATTTTCGTATTCTGTTTCAAACCATATTCTTTTCATTTAACACCTAATAATATTAATATCTAATTCAAAGTAGACAAGGCGAAGCTTAACCCCTCACCTTTGTGTTTGAAATTAAAGTGTTTTTTCTTGGGAGCCCAATATTACACCCGAAAATAAATGGATGAGGTCGCACAAAATCTATAGATTGATCAGAATTAGACATTAACACCACTGGATGCCGGCCCAATGGTCCCGAGGTTAGGCGTTCGCACGGAAGACCGAAGGTCCTAGATTCGAATCCTGCGAGGTGCAGGTGTTGTGGATGCGCACTGCTGATGAGTCGCATACCAGGACGAAACGGCCGTCAAGTGCTTCCAGGTTTCTAACGTTGGAGGTCTAACAATAATTGATCGATGATTTCAATGTGCAACAAACACTAATCTCCATAATTCTAATTGGAAAATTTTGTTTACTTAGGTTGTCATTTTTTAAATTGTTATTTTACTGTTTTGTATTTACTATGAAAATTATATTTCCTTCACCTTTTTTCCATCTTCCTATTTATTAAATCATCATTAGATTACCTAAATATGCAACAAAATTTTTAGAATTATGTCTTATTATAACAGCTGATCATGGTCCAGCTGTATCTGGTGCACATAATACAATTGTGACAACACGAGCTGGTAAAGATCTTATCTCTAGTCTTGTCTCGGGACTTTTAACAATTGTAAGTTTGAATTATTTCTATTTTTTTTTTTTGTATTCTAGTCTATGAGTGTTTTTTTTGTGTTATTAAGTTAACTATTGTTTTTGTTTATGTGGTTAAGTTTTTCTTTTCTCTACCGAGGGACCTACGAATTCTCAAATCACTTTATTTATGTCACAGTTGCATAAATTTACCCTGTATTTTCAAGGGCAATTTTACATTGGTTTTCAGGAGAACCAAGGAGACTGCTCACGGTTTACCATTTCTACATTAACAGTTCAGCACAATCCTGTGGTGCAACCACACAGGTTCCTGATACCTTGGTGGACTATTCACACTATTTATATATACACTAGTACATATATAATGATTATTTCCGATCCATGATCGCGTCATTCGGTATGCACCGCATAAACAGGCCATTTCGACCCATCCCACTTACATGATTGTCAAACTCATTATTAATAGCAATGGTG